AACAAGATCTAATTTTGGAAAGAAACCAACAACCACCTTTAAAATCTATTACTAATCAAGCGGCATCATATTTTATACATACCTTTCATAATTGCATGAATCATCCGAATCTGATAACAAGAAGGAAATACGTACACTATCATTTCCACTACCATTTTTAATTGATTTCCGTGTATGCAAATTTCACTCACCTTTTACAAGGTGGGTGAACATTTACATATTTCAAATAAGTCTCACGGAAATCATTCGAGTCTTTAGTAGATGAATAATCAGTTATCATCTACGACACGAGTGATGATGACTAGTACTTAACATTTCTCTTATTAACAACAATTTTTGCAGAAACTCAAAAGTTGCATAAATTTAGTTCATAAATTCAATTGTAGATATAATGAAAAATTTGATGCAAAAAAGATAAATCTGAACTGTTTTAAAACTATTATTAATCTTGTGAACAATGCCAAACAACTTACCGAACGACTTTTACGATTAGAAGAGATATTTAATATGAAAGATGCTTTAGAGTTTTTAGAGTTCATTAAACCAACAGTAAAATTCTGCAAATTTATGTATTTGTAATGAGTTTGTTATATTTTATTTTACATATTTTTTATTTCAATAGATTCGGTCACAAGATAAGACTATCTTGTTTCGTGAACCTATAGACAATGTTTTGATGAAGCCAACTCCAAATGCAAAGTTTGTAGCGTATTTTAAAAGCGAACATGCACAGTTAATTATTTTTAATATGAAAATGTCGAATGGATGGGTGTTCTTTACTACACAACATCAAAAAAATTGCATGATCACGACAGGAACGTTATAATTGATGCGCAAGACTGAAAATAAGCATTTTTTTTTAATTATTATAATATCGATATTCCGTATTATTATTGTGATGATCAGGTTACAAGTTTGCTGAATACTATTATGGGTTAGCTAGATAATCAAACTAGTTCTAATAATGAGATTTTTTCGTAACAGTAGAAATTTTCATAAAAACATATGAGTGCAAAACCTCGATGTTGTTTTTTTAATATATGTTTTGGATCACGGCTGAGTTTATCAAAAAAACAAGATCGAGGTTTTCCCTTAGCCGCACTCATATGCTATAACGCTCATTAAACCGAGGTGAGAGATTACATCACGCGATTTCGCAGATGAATTTATTACAACAAACCTTATATCGATATTATATCGATATTATATCGATATTATATCGATATTATATCGATATTAAAGTGAACAAATTTTCCCGCGAAATCATAGGAGCAATAATTTCGTCATTGACGCAAGGTACATCTTTACAGTGACGTCTAAATTAATTTATCGTCGCATTAATTGCTGCATTAATTGTTGATTCTAAATGTGGCAATGCCGTAATATAATGAATGCAGCATTGTTGCAATATAATGCAATTCAGTATTTTTAACGTCAATTACAGTCAATACGCATGCCTCTGAGTTTTGCTTTCTTAAATAACAAGACAATCGCAAACTTTGTGATTCATTTCTCATTATTAAAGTCATTTAAATGACGTATGTATTGCTGGAAGCATCATGTTTATTCAGGGCATGACATTAAATGACTTTAAATGAGACTTTAAATGATCATGCATTTGTAAGTCGTTTAAAGATGTAAAAACTGTATGAATCTGTACGTGACAGATTTTACCTGATGCTATTTTTTACTATAATCACATGACATCATTAATATGTGTCATCATTAACGTTAAGATGTGACGTAAATAGTTAACAAATTTTACGTTGACTAAGAATGTAATAACGATAAGATACATTCTTAACGTTAAACGAATATATGTCTGATGATGCGTCACATGGTTGACGATTTCCAGAGCAATATATAAATTCCGTCTTTTTTTGTTGGACTTTATTGGTCCAAGGTCAGAAATGTATACGCCAAATATTTGTAAATCTTTAATATATCGTTTTAGAAGGAATTACTTCAGATATATTTCAAAGGTTAACTTTGTAAAGATCCTTTTGATACTTCTTCTGAGACTAAATTGAGTTAAAGTTTTGAATGATCCTATAGTATTTCAGAAACGAAGGATTTTCATATCCAATTATATCATAAATTCATTATTTAACGTTAATTCATGTAACGTTTTAAGGGAAAATTTTGATTTCACAAAAATGTTATGAAACCAATCAATACATACATCCCTTGAAAATCCGCCATTATTTTTGAAATCTATAATAGAAAATATATTACTATTTGTTCATAAAACCGCAAACCTCCTTGTAGCCTATTTATTATTCAAACGTTTTATGTTCATCCTTTTTTTTGATTCCATGTTGATAACAAGCGCCAAAATTTTTTAACTGGTTTTGTACGCCAACTCTCCCTGTTGATATCAATGATCTTTTTCTAACACTAATTTATTA